ATGAATAAATGATGCTTGAATTTTATGTTAAAAACTATGAGCAACTATATTAACACCTTACACAAGATTTTTTTTTAAATCAGCAAATGGGAAATTATGTGATAGAATTACAGAAAGATGATTTAGAAGCTCCCATAGATTTGAGCCAAGATCAAAAACAGAGACCATGATGGAGTGCATACATCTAGTGTTAAAGGGACATGCATCCCTTTTTTCTTTTCTTTAAACCAGCAGGCAAACATTTTAAACAAATATACATATCAAAATAAACATTGAAAAATATGTGATAAAAGTTTATAAACCTGATCAAATTACAATATATGGCACGCCTCTCAGATAGGGAAATTTCCTCAGCACCCTACCACCCATCTCAGTTTCAGACTAGTCCACATATGCTAGCATGATTGGGCAAAGGCAAGAAGCTCCTCATTCTTCCTGCAGGGAAAGAGAAACCTGACACCGGAGCCTGATCTGCATGAATAACACTGATCAGACTCTCTCTCTACTCTCCCGTTCAGGATGTTGCAAGCTGAAAAGATCTTCCAACTGCACAAGTTTAAATCTGCCAGGCATGCCCAATTCCCCTTTCCAGCATTCCTAGGGATAGGACACGGATTGATTAGATTAGTGTACTTCCTGAAGTGGGTGTGGAAAGCATAAGAAAGAAAAAGTAAACATGAAAAAATCCTATTTATCTGCTTTTTCCAGCCTTCAGATTAAGGCAACTGTCTCATTCAACTTGAACTATTTTGCTTGAGACAAAAGACAATAGGTTTAGAGTTCAAAGGGTACTGGTGTATATGCATTTTGAATGAGACTGTTGTCTCAAAGTGATGCATATCCCTTTAAATAAGATTACAAAAAATATCGGTAGGTATATATTAAATACATTTATCGTAAAGGATTTCTACATTTCATTCCACAGTAACTTTCTGCAACAGACCAGATGCTTAGTAATTGCCAATACAGAAGAGCAGTGCATGCATGGGTATTACCAACCAGGACTGGGCCATACATTAAAGAAAGAAAACGTGTGTGTTCACATAAGGGAGTATTTCATTGAGGAACAATACAAAAAATAATAATGGTATTCAGCTACACATGAAAAAAGAAAGATGGAAGGGGTCTTTCCCCAAATCATCAGGCTTCCCAATAAATTGGCAGTCGTCACAAGTCCAGGGCAACATATGGCCGATTCCCAATTACGCCCCAGGAATATTAAGGGACTGCACTGGTCACCAAGTCCCCTGTTAGGGGAATCTTGTAAGTTATCTGCAGGACCACTTTAGGATACCCAACTTGTTCTATGAACTGTATCTGGTAAATCCAGGGCTTTGAGACGTCCAGATATCAAGAAACCCGGAAGAGCAATTCCTCCTTCCAGATTATTCAGTGAGGCCTATATATTCATAGGTTAAGGTTCATGCTGACAAAATCAGAGCAGAGATTAGTTTTATTGGTGGAGGCATTATTTCTGAACTAACTGGGGCATGGTACCATTACAGAGAGAACCTAAATAATTTTTATATCATATGGATCCCACTCAAACAGGTGGGAAATGTTGGATGGCTCCCTCTGCATCAGAAATTAACATGGCTCAGGTTTATCTGCCCTAGGATAGGTGTTTCTTAGGTTGAGTTTCCTATACCAACCTTAAGGAAACAATTGTGAAATCTACAATTGGAGGAAAATGTAAAGCATTTTTTCCCCGATACCAAGAGACTTAGAATATAGGATCCACTTTTAAAGACTCTAGTATTACATTTAATTCTAACTTAAACTTAAAATTATTAACTGGGGAAACTGCACAAAAATATGAATATATTACAAAAATGTATAAAAACAGAAAAGGAAAGTGAGAAAGTTTAGGTTACATTTCTGCTAGACCCCTGACATTGTTGTCAGTAACATACATCATGGGATACTATGTTCACAGCATATCAAGACGTTCAATGATTGCGATTATACAAGATACAGATGGTCCTTAACATGTTGAATAACGTTCCATAGCTTTTAGACCATCCTTGTAAATCACCTTGTTCCTTCTCAAGTCTACACATAGCTAAATAGAGAAGGGAAATTTTGAAACCATTTACAGCTTAAATTCAGTTTCACCAGAGAGCACATTTTATTTTTGAAAGTGGTCTATTACTAAGGGTTTGTGGAAATCCTACTGTCACAAACAGATTCACACTCACATGCATCTCTATATATAGAGGAAGAGGCAAATACTTTTTCACAGCAGAGTGAAATCTGTCAGCTAGTATTAATTAACAAAACTGCTAAAGACAGTTGTTTGTTGCATTATATTTTTTGTTTCCATTATAATGACGTTTAACATTTTCTTCTATTCTGTACTTTATGACAGCATTTTTTAATTTATCACTATGTTAACAAATAAAAGTATATAGTACTAATGAAAGTATTTAGAAAATTGGGCAGACTAGATGGGCCGAATGGTTCTTATCTGCCGTCACATTCTATGTTTCTATGTTGGGCGATCATACATCTTAACACAGCTTATCGTTAAAGTCGGACTTCGGAGTAGTTTATTTATAGACAAAACACATTCTTTAACACCGAATAGTATTAGTGTTGAAATCACACTTATTTAATGGCCCCTTGCAAAAGTAAACCAAACATGATCAAACAGTTTTTGAATGATCAAAATCGGGTCTTATATTAAATAATACCTACTTCATCAAATAAGGCAAAGAGATCTTCTAATTTATCTGTAACTGGAACATTTAGGTACGCAGCAAACTCATTCAGGTTGATTTTTTCGCCTTTTCTTTGCTTGGCACTTTCTGAGAATTTGTCAAGCTCTTTTTCCAGTTTTTTTGGTTTTGGACTGTAAAAAGGACAAATCATTTGAGAAACTCAAACTATATCAAAACATAAAATGTTACAACAGCTACTTCAGGTAAATTAACGCACATATGTTATAGATACATGGTTGCCAACCTGTACCAAATCAAGGCACATTTCAATGACAGATGTTTTCAAGGCAAACTGACTGCTTCTAAATCATGCACATGTTTTACTGGTAAGACTGTATGTTTGGGAGGCATTTTCTTACTTGCATTTCACACTTGGCATGGGTGATCTTGAGTGACATGAATAGATGATAATTCTCTTACTAGCTTTGTTCTATTTTCTAGTGTGCATGAAATATAGGTATGGCGTAATCAGATTATTAGAACTGTCAACAAGAATACTATATCAGTAGTAGTGACACTGTAATGAGAATGTACACTTACTTTTGTGGTTGTATATAAAGAATGTATTATGTATGTAATGGGAGACACAGAGCATCAAGGGCAGGGTGTCTCAGCCTGACACTCTGTATGTCCAGCAAATACCATCAACTGTTGACCATTTAAAATCCATGATTTTGGTAGAAGGATGAATTTAGGTTTTATAAAAATTAAACCATACAAAGCCAGGAAAGGATTATGTTAAAGGACCACTATAGACACCCAGACAACTTCAGCTCAATGAAGTGGTCTGGGTGCCAGGTTCATCTAGGGTTAACCCTGCAGCTGTAAACATAATAGGGTTAATCCAGCCTCTAGTGGTTCTCATTGACAGCCGCTAGAGGCGCTTCTCACTGTGATTTTCACAGTGAGAAGACGCCAGCGTCCATAGGAAATCATTGTGAAATGATGACGTCGGAAGAGGGAGGAGAGTCCCCAGAACGGCGCTGGAGAAAGGTAAGAATTTAACCCCTTCCTCCCCCTAGAGCCCAGTGGGAGGGGGACCCAAAGACCCTATAGAGCCAGAAAAACAAGTTTGTTTTCCTGGCACTATAGTGGTCCTTTAAGTGAGCCTATTTGACAATAAGAAAATCGAATATATAATATGTGTTTATATTTATTTTTAATTAGCATCAATTAAGTGTTATTCTAACTTTTCTTATTCTACCGTGAGCATCAAGTACTGTGGACTTAGATTCATTGGGGATTGGAAATATATATATTGGGCCTGCTATACAATGCTTTACTTCGTACCCTGCATTAAAACATAGATATACATAGCCAGCAGGCACACAGATGTCTAAAACATGCTGGTTGTTAGAGGCCAACATTAAACACTATAGAGTCATAATCATGGTTCCCTACTATCTCCCCTCACAAGAGTAAGGACCACAGGGGAGCCCCCACTCCTTGTAAGTTTATACTTAACCTCATAACAAAGAAAGTTGTGGATACCTCTAAGTTTAGATATTCTGGAATTTTAAAATGACTCCATTTTCTATAAATGGTTTAGTTTTTTATTCCTAATGTCATTAAATTAAACTGCACTGTAAAAAAAACAAAACACAAGAACACTACAACTACACTTCTTATTTATTTTGCAAAAATAAATTATTTTGCCAAACTCTTGCCATAGTAAAAGGACCACTTTGCCAGGAAAACAAAAAAAAAAATAGAACGCGCCCCAGGTACCAAAGGCAACATTTGGAACATCAGCATTTCTGCGTAGTTGCTAGCATAATGAATAAGGTAACCAGTACACATGAAAATGGAATGCCCCATAAAATGAGAAATAAACTGAGCAAATTTGTATTTTGCAAAAGCCATCTAGATAAATTTTTACATACCCAAGACTCCGTACAAGGCGTGCAAATTCCAGCAAGGAAGTATCTGAAGGGAGGCGAAGTTGACCCTCAGCCAAGGCAAGCTGGCAGTCTTCGAAAGTATAGTCAGTGACAGATACACCTAGGGCCCTTTAAGAACAAAATACAAATTACAGTAGTGTTCACTGTGTATATCCGATTTTAAAAGTATCATGATCGAACACATATTTCTAAGATAAAATAGTGAATAGTAAAATTGCACACACACAAAAAAAAAAATTATATATATATATATATATATATATATATATATATATATATATATATATATATATATAAAATACACAAGATCCAGCGCACTCACCTATCCACTAAACAGCAACTTTAATGTTGAAAGATTTTATTTGTTTTTTTTTAAAAACACCTAATCTAGGCAAAAATAATGGGGGTTTTAGTTACATTATATGATCATACAGGCTTATGCAATGTATGATCATATAATGTAACTAAACCCCCATTATTTTTGCCTAGATTAGGTGTTTTTAAAAAAACAAATAAAATCTTTCAACATTGAAGTTGCTGTTTAGTGGATAGGTGAGTGCGCTTGATCTTGTGTATTGTATTATTTAGCCCCCAGCAGCACCCCCATTTATGCATGTTAAGGTGAGTGCAGCCAACCCCCTCTTGTTATATATATATATATATATATATATATATATATATATATATATATATATATATATAAACATACGCGCGCACACACACACAAAAAAAACGTGACGCTTGCACTCCTGGATTAGAAAGGAATTGCCCAGTGCTGGTCAGGCACATACAATACAGAAAAAATACAGAAAAAAATTAGAATGACCGTACTCCAAGGTCTTTATAATAAAAATAAAATATAGCTTATTCTAAATCATTAAAAAATATTGACGTTTTAGCCCCAATACATCTGCTTGCCATCCTAATGAAAGCCCATGTATTTGGGCTGAAACGTCAATATTTTTAAATTATATAGAATAAAAGTTATATTTTATAAAGGGAGCACACTAGGACGACTTCTTAGTGGAAAAAAAGTAGTTTACTGTAAGATCTTGATAAAGAACCCAGGAGGGTCGAAACGTAGATTTTTTTGCACTTTGCACAGAATATGTATTATTTGATGATACAGTAAACTACTTTTTTCCACTGAGAAGAAGTCCAAGTGTGCTCCCTTTATTTTCTATTATATATTCAACGCGGGATTGCACCTAGGCAGTCGTGATTTTGTTTAACAAGCTACAGGAGGAGTGCCTTGCTTATATATATATATATATATATATATATATATATTTGTGCTCGGAATTTAAATACGTAATGGATAGTATCTGTGAGCAAAGTTGGTTGTGGTGTGCCGAAACCAACGTACGAGTGGGCCTGTAAATAAAAGAGGGCCCACCAAGGATAATGTAGTTAAAACAGGGTGTAGGTGGGTGGGGACAATCAGCTGAGCGGCAGCGGTGAGTAAGGGCTGGGAGTTTAAGTAGGGGACTTACTCCTCCCACAAATTCAGGCCTAATGGCCTTTCTACTTGTGCTCGGAATTTAAATACGTAATGGATAGTATCTGTGAGCAAAGTTGGTTGTGGTGTGCCGAAACCAACGTACGAGTGGGCCTGTAAATAAAAGAGGGCAAAAAGATAAATTCGAGAAAATACACACTTTATTGCATTTTACAAGACCAAGTTCCTGAAAGCTTGGCGAAGCTCTTTCTCTGGTTGCGGAATATATGCGTTATATATGGAGGATTTCCATCGCCCGAGCCTTTTGATGATGTGGAACGGTGCGTTTGTGCTAGAGGCTGCAGAGGCGGCTCCTATGCGGAAGGAGTGCCCGGAGAATGCAGCCGGGTTGTGTCCGAGCTTAGATAACAGGGTTCTGACATGTAACATCAATTTTGCCGTGGTAAGCGGGTGCCCTTGTAATGTTAAGAGCGGAGAGTCTGGCAGGTGAGTGTGAAGAGTTGACCGTAGTTGGTCGAGAACTTTCACCGGACACCAGGCATTATCAGTAGGGAAGAGAGGAATTATTGTAGGATGTATTGACCGGTTGGTTTTCGTGGTAGGGATAGAAAGGAGGTAGTGATCCTCCACCTTGGTGAGGTGTGAAGTTTTAAGGCATCGTGCGATATCTCCTTGATAAATCACGGTGAACTCTCTAGGTCTGAGAAAACCGTAGAAAGCGAGATATATGGCAGATTTTATCACCGTATTGGTGTAGCTATCAAATGGGGCTGTGTCAAGGAGATTGCTAAGTGACCTGAAGATAGGCCCGTCTATGGGTAATCTAGTGCTTGCGAGTGGTGGTGAAACCTTTGATATACCCTTCAAGACCTTTTTTATGGGGTATGAAGACAAAAAAGGAGTGCTGTTAGGAAAATTGGTGAGGCTGTGGTGCTGAACCCCGGTGAGGTAAAGTTTAATGGTGTTGTGTGACAGATTAAGGTGTAGGTGGCAAAAAGAGGCAAAAGACACCATGGTTTGGATAGAAAAGTCACCTTGTAGCCCGAATTCTGCAGTGAATTTGTTAAATATGTTAAGTGCCCTATTGTAAGTGATAGCAGTGTTGGGTGATAATGCTTGGTGAGTGAGTGATCTAGCGTGAAGCAAGAGTGTGCTTAATCCAATATTAGTTCGTGAAACCGTGGTGTCCTGGATGGCTGTTGGTGAGCTGCTGGGAGTGCCTGAGAAAATGCCTGGAATCGAGAACGAGAAAGAGCGTCAGCGGCGGTGTTGTGAATACCCGGGATGTGAGAACATACTAAGTGAAACTGATTGGATGCTGCCAGCCAGGTCAACTTGCGAATCAGCCGCATGATGGTCAGGGATGATGAGCGCCCTTTGTTAATGATATCGCAAGCTGCCGAGTTATCTGAGTAGCATTTTACTGCCTTGCCGGACCAGAGATGACCCCAGGTGTGCGGCCGCCACAATGGGGTAAATTTCAAATAGGGCTGAGGTCTCCCTGAATCCTGGCAAGGCATCCGTCTCAGTGGGCCAGTGGCACCTAAACCAGTGGTTCCCGAAAATGGCTGCGAAACCGGTGTTGGCTGCTGCGTCTGTGTGGATGATGGGTGAAGAGTTTGAGAGAGGGGGAATAAACATGGAGATACCATTCCAGTCTTTCAAAAACTTCCCCCACATAGCCAAGTCAGCCTTGGCGTGGGGGTCCAAAGAAACTGTGCCGGAGTCCGGGACTCCGTGGAGCAGGCAAAGAAGTCTGGAAATGAAAGACCTTCCCTGCGGAATGATGCGCATGGCGAAGTTCAGAGATCCAAGAAGGGACTGAAGTTCTCTCCTGGTGCAAACGTCATTCCGCAGGAACGTGTCTATCTCCCCTCTCAATCGTGAAAGTTTGTCGTGTGGAAGGCTAGCTCTGAGTTTGACAGAATCGAGCTCTATGCCTAAAAAGATCAACTTAGTTGTGGGTCCTATAGTTTTGGCTGGGGACAAAGGGACTCCCAGTGTGGAAAAAAGTGCGGTAGTACTATTGATTGCTGTGGGTGTTGATGACCCTGGCTCTATCAGTAGAAAGTCGTCTAGATAGTGAATAACGGAGTGACACCTGATGACGTTCAGAAGCAGCCAGCATAGTGACTCTGCGAAAATGTCGAAAAGTTTGGGGCTGCTTCGAGAACCAAAAGTGAGTCGTGTTGAGAAGTAATAATACCCTCGCCATTTAACACCGTGTAAGTGCCAGAGTGAGGGGTGTATGGGCAGTAATTTAAAGGCGTTAGTGATGTCTGTTTTGCTGAGCCAGGGTCGATTACCAGATGTCATGATGGACTGTATGGCGTCGTCGATGGTGACGTACTGCAGAGAGAATTCGTCTGCTGGAATGAGTGCGTTTATGCTTGGAACAAAAGAGGAGTGCGGTGCCGATAAATCGATAATGAGACGTTTTTTATTAGAATATTTGTGAATAGCAATACCAATAGGGTTAGTGCGCCAGGAGGAAAACGGTGAAGAGGTGAAAGGACCGATCATGAAACCGTTTGTGGTTTCTGCGGAAATGAGAGTGTCTACAGCGACTGGGTCTAAACGTGCAGACTGGAGATTAGGACATTCTAGTGTACCTGGGGGAATGGCTACTATGCCTGTGTGAAACCCTTGTGAGAAACCTGTGGTGAGAAAATCCACTAAGTGCCTGCTGGGGTGAGACCTTAGATAAAAAACCAGGTTGTCGATATTTATGTCGGTTAGTCATTTGTTTGGTGACAACCTGGCTGGACACATGGTCTTGGTATGTGCCCTGAAACATATGGAGCAGATGTGCAATAATCTACAGGCGCTGAAACTGCAGGAGCCTGCGTTGAAATTATTGCACACCTGTGCTTTACCTAAAAAGGAGATGGGCCTACCCAGCTTATCCCGGAGACCACCCGCTGGCTTGTTGTGAGGGGTGAAAGAGGAGTGAGGTGTGAACGTGGGGTGAGGGGTGGGAGTGGAGGTGGTGGGATCTGGTTCGACGGGACATAAGTCCGCCATGTGGGATGTAGAATTACAGATGGCACAAGCCGGGGGCCTGAGTCCAGCGAAGTGGCGACAGAAAAGTTCCGTGTCCATCTGACCCCAGTTCATTCTAATGTTGAACTGCTTGAGATGGGTCGCCGCCTTCGCTGAAACTGACTTGTGGTAGTCATAGAAGGAAGAGCCCCCGTACTTGATGCCTAGATCCACTACCTTGTGGAGATAGAGATCTAGCTCTTCTCTCCTATGGGGATACACCGTGCAAATGACGTCGCGGTATATCCCAAAAGCTATCACAAACTGAGGGATAGACAATTTTTTATTAAGCCTGGGATCCCTCGTTTTGAGCACAACTGAAATGTCACCATAATTGTATGCCTTGTTCTCGAGTACATCCTGAGAAGCTATGAGTAAAGACACCAGACACACATCCTTCCCGTCTAGGATATCTTTCCTGATAGAATCTGGGACGGAGTGTGCTGGTGACTCGAAAGGTGTGATGGCTGTGCCAGGTGCTGGAGGGGGGAGTATAGAGGGACATGTAGGTATGGCAGGTACAGCCGTGGTAGAGACTGGGACTACGGTGATAGTACCTGAGGAGGAGATGGCGCTCTCCACCTTAGACAGCCTGCTATTGAGGGTCTGTAGATTGGCCAAGATATCTGCCAGGGTATCCTGGGTGGCCGTGCTGTTACTTGGTGGTTGTCCTTGAGAGCTAGTTCCCGGCCGAGGCTCGGGGACTTGGTGGGTAAGCAGCCTGTAAAGTTCAGCCTTTCTAGCTGTGGCCGGAAAGGGGATTCCCCTGAGCCTAAGCTCGGCCGTGATTTTGGGAATAGTCCATGCTCTCAAGGACGTGGGGGTTGAAAGAGTGAGTGATTCGCCTGGAGACACGGGTCTGATTGGCGTGAATGGTGTTTCTTCTGTCAGTTCTTCGGTTGGAATTGGTTCTTGGGACATTCTAAAAGGAATGATTATGTGAAAGATATATTAGAAGGGGAGTGAGGTAAGAAGGGGGGGGTATGGGGAGTGGTG